GTAAATGTACTAATATAAATGAAAAAAACACAACATGATTTAATGTATACCTATTGGGATTTAAAACAAATTGATTCGAATTTTATTGTTGGTGTACACTCAGTCGCATATATATTTACATTATAGACTAATATGTGTTAAAGCTTTAAACATGACATTTTTAATTTTAATTTATGTGACTTTATTGTATATACACACTATATATAGATTTATTAAATAATCAATTTTGTTTTCTATAGTAATTAAAAATATGAATAAGTAATCCTTGTAAACCGACATAACACGTAAGTGGTGTTTAGTAGTGTTTAATTTAAATATTAAAATTAATATTGGTAGGTCAAAAAATAATATATAAATAATATTTCATAAATCGACACAAAGAGCCACGATTTAGCAATAATTGTATCTAACACAATTATAATTTTGTTTTTTAGCCTTCAATTTAAACAACTGAGTCCTTCACGGTAGTGAATATTCTTTATAGATAAGAGCATTTAGTGTAAAATACTAAATTATGACAAATTTAATATTAAAAAAGAAATATTAAAGTTTAATAATAAGAAGGATGTATTTCTATGAATATTATGCCACATGCAGTATGCCATAATTCTTTGAGCGTAAATCGGACAAAGTCTGTGAAAAGCTAAACATTTAAATTTAAAGAAATTAAAAGCTACTAATTAAATATACAAAATTAATTATGAAAATATTGTAACAATGATATTTTACTTAGAGTTGATATTGTATGAAACAGCGTATTATAGAAAAAATGTATGTTTAAAACGTTCGAAAATCGGGAGAATGTGGAAAATTTTGGAGCTTGCTGCTAGCCATTACAAGATTTCATAATAAATTATTTTAAAAATAAAAATAAATCAAAATGAATATGGGCGGTGCCTATACCATATATTTAGACACAACTACATTATAATATTATATATGGTTTATGAACCGTTTAATGATATACCTAACGCAAAAAAACGACCCCACGTGTCGATTTAAATTTCCAAAAGAGAAATAAAACGCTATATATAACCATCAACCTACCAATATAATATAAATATATAAATTATTTACTTGCAGCATCCGCAGTCTAAAAATAATCGGCCGGTTTTACATATATGAACACGAATATGCGTATATATTCTATACTATAACATATATACCTAGTGTAAAATAAATCTTACAACTTTCATCGGCAAATAGTTACATAAAAACAGCTATTTTTAATGTTGTATAATTATATAGACATGTAGTGTTGTATTTTTTTTTTCTCTTGGGCCCATTTTTTTAATGTCATATTGCAACTAGCGTTTTAATAATGCAGATTTTACAAAACGCACATAATATTATTATAAACCACATAGTAAGTTAGGTTTATTAACATTAATGTTATTTAAGATACTTGCCAGACTGGACTAAGACGTTCTACGCATGTTATATGGGTATATACGATTACATACTTATAGATACGTATAATATTACATATTATGCTATCAATCAATCATATGTTTACTCATTCCAATCTTATATCGACGAAGAGAAGGTCAAGTCGTGACAGTACTTATATTATAGTCGATTCGCTTAGGTCAGAAACAAATTTGATGTCTTTTTTCAATACAATTATTGTTTAATAACTATAGATAATTTATACATCAAATTATATTAATTTTTCGAAAAACTATATATTATATAATACTTATACGTTTATGCGGATTAAACTACAAGCTATTTGAAAATTATTGTTAAAAGTAAAAAAAATAAAAATTTGTGTTCTCAAATTTGATAGTTATTTATGCATGTAGTCGTTTACTATGTAAATATGTATAACTACATTATTGTTTAAATAAATATACTTTCAAACAGAAATATACTTATACTCGACTGCTACGTTGTTATAATTTGTGTTATTGACTAGATTACTTTAATTGTTTAACGTTACTGTTTACTGATACATAGTGTACTTATATAATACATAGGTACATCTCAAAAATACTTATATATATATACATATAGTTTTAAAAGCATATTAAGTATATAAAGTTTTTTTTTTTACATTAGTTATAGAAAACCAAAGATAACATAACTATAACAAATAACAAATAAGATACAAACTTTAAAATTTAAATTGTAAGACCAATGATATTATACTACTACATTTTAATATAGATACATTAGAATCGATAGTTGTATTTTTTTTTTAACTTTATTCTCATGCATATCAATAAGCATATTCCTTTTATATTATACTTAATTACGTAAAATTATCGTATTCAATACTGAATCGAGTTTTAAGCGAGTATAAGCGTTGAATATTTCTTTATAAACGATTTTTTTGCAAACCATAATAATACACTCGTAGACCGGATTAACCGTAATGTTTAATTATTTATAGCATATAATATTATTCTAACAGCTGAACCCTTGAGTTGTACAAAGTCTCTTTAATTGCATTATTTAACGTATCTACGTGTTCTCGCATGTAGTCACTTTATAGTTTAATTGAATTGAATCAATTGTATTACTTCAAGGTCTTTTTCTTCAGCATTTTTTTTTTTTTAGTCATACTTGAATCTATGAAAAATATTTAATATTATTTGTATATAACAGTCGACTATAGTTTCACTTTTTTAGGTTTTGAAGTATGATTTTCGTCACATTGAAAAATTATATGATGTTTTATTCACAAAATCATGCAAAAACATTAAACTCAGATCATGTCAATATTGGGTTATGTAACTATATAATTACATACCTATTATTTTACTCGTGAAAATCAGCTCTTTAACGTACTATTCGCTAATCGTCAATAAAATGCTGTGTACAAACAGGTCGGTTAAATGTTGTTAAGTTCAGCCTTCCTTCGATTTTAATGGTATTTTATGCCCCCGTCGTGTATCATGTTATTGTGAAATTTTCGAAATATTGTTTAAGTTGCGTAGGTTGCGGTTGGTAACCTATACAAAGCGCTGGGCGGAAAGGTTCATTCGATTATCAGTCTTATCATTTTATGTATAATATTTTATTCTGCTGTATTCGTAGTTTACCTATATAATATAAATATTCCCGAGGCATCTGCGATTGTCTGTCTTATACATTCTGTACCACAACCAAAACATTCAGAGTTGCAAATCACAATAATTTAATAACAATACATATCCAATTTCTGTTTCACGTTTAACACCTACGCCTCATTATTCAGTCAAACTTACCGGTAAACGTAATTATTCGTAGTTAATCTAACGTCGATCAGTATCGCTCCCATACAATAATGTATAGTGTATAAACATTATATATGTTATTCATAATTACATGCGGACAGAATAATATGTAAATTATATTAGTTGTACATGACGATATTTCAATTATTTTGTATTATTATTAGTAAAGTCCATATCAATGTCTGTGTCAATATTTTACCAACGCTTAACACTAAAAAATTTCTAGTCCATGTAATATTGTATTCGTTATCTATAGAAACTCGACAGTAATATTTTATTTTCTATAATAGGAATTAAAGTATATTATTCTTTTATTACCGTGAAACTGCTTTTATATTATTATACTCACAAAAAAAAAAAATAATTTACTACTCACAAATAAATAAACAAACCTCATGGTAAATCCTTCTAAATGCGTAGAATGTAATAGAATTATATTTACTGTGGAATTGAAAACATTGTAATATATCTACAACTCGATTGGCATTTCTAAGAAAAAACATAGTATTATTATTATACTATATATTTTATAAGTAATATACTAAAATACTATTACAATAAAATTGTTAATTTCATTTTGTAAATATTTCAGGATAAAAAATTACCAATAAATAAAATGTCTGCGCGTTATTATCGATTGTACAAAATACAAATAATAGTTTCAAGGTATTCGCGTATTTTAATGTAAACGCAAAACCAATGACGCATACATTATTATTATTACATTTAGTTTAGGTAAGTATTTTTTATAAATAGATATTACTTTAAATGTTTTCTACAACAAAATAATATTTCAGTAAATATGAATAAATTATAACTGAATCGTAAACATCTTAGGGTTTAAAACTGTAAGGCTATACTAATGTTTGAGTACTTATTCAATGCAGGTTTACTATATTTATTGCTTATTAATTATCAGTTCTATTTTTATAGTTTATGACATAAAATAATTATATTTATAAACAATGTTCTGGTTGTAAAATATAATATTTAAATATTAAACGCCCTTCATTTATTAATATATGATTTGTACTCTATTTACACTTCAGAGTGGTTACGTATAAAATCCGTATAATAGTACTATATAATTTTTTTTTAAATATTTAAAATAAATAAAAAGTGTTAGGAATAAGTAGTTTTTTATTACTTAAAGAATATTCTTTATTATTTTACTTAAAAATGATTTATGCAAAAGCTAACAATTGAAACGTATTTATCTATGTGCTTAAAACTAATGTGTATAATCAAAGCATTATATAAGTTTAGTATCTACGTTTAATCTTAAAAATGTCATGAATGTATAATGACTTATTAATTTACTATACAACACTTGGGTTTAGAGCACTTAAATTTTATAAGATTGACGTTTCACATGTACCAATGTATAATTATTACCTATATTTTATATCCAAAACTTAGAATAATGAATTCAATTTCGTTTTTAAATTTAAAGTTTTTAACCCGAAAATATATTTTCAATGCTTTGAAAATTTATTTTCATGTGATAAAAATCAAATTGTTTATTTACATTGTATCCAGATTTTTAAGTGTAACGTGTTTATAATATTATATGAATATTTTACCTTTAAGAGCTTTTAAGTACCTATATTATTTAATATTTATCATTAATTATACTTGTGTACCCAAATAATTACGATAAATAAATGTATAAATATATATATATATGTATTGTTCATGAATATGACGATTGAAATATGTTTGTCAAGTACACCATTTCTAAATCATATAAATTTATTTTATCATTATTAATAATATCGTACAAAAAACATGTTATTGCTTAATTCCAGATTTCAATAATACATTTAATTTTAATAAAAATTACAACGTGTTTATAGTGTGATTCCAACGATTTCACACTAACGAAATGAACTAAATTTGTTTGTTAGTTCTTTTCGAGGTCCGATTGAATCGTAGCTAGAGATCGATTTTTAGTCTCAGGTACGCAATTGACAACAAACAACATGCCCAGAAAACAAAACCCGGAATACACAAAAAATGTACCACTCGGACCAATAAATTTGTCCATAGGTTCGGCCAGACACGTTACCAGCCAGACCAATATCCAGTTGGTGGCAATTGACATGCCTGTGCCCATCGACTTGAGCTAAAAAAATGTCAATATAAATATTTAATATCTATGACTATGCATCTTAAAATAACAATTTCTTATGATTTTTTTTTTCAAAAAAGTTCTTCATCTGATTTATGATAAATTATAATGTTAGTTAATAGGTATCACAATTATAAACGCACAAAGTTATCTAATTTATAAAGATAACTTAGTATAATATGATATTAAAATGATAATATGACTAACTTCTGATGAAAATATTTCCCCAATAATTATGTACGGTATGGGACCGCAACCGATCGAATACATGGAAATGTATAACACTATGGTCACGAGCGGTAACCAGTCAAGTGTTTGGGCCACGTGAGGATTGTATTTTTTTGAAAAAAAATAGTATGATAGTGCTAGTAAGCAGAGGCCCATCGAAGTCATCGAGTACACCATTAATGAACGTCTGCCAAATTTGTCCGTAATCATCATAGATATGAACGTCATTACAACCTAAAATCATAATATCATTATCAAGAATATTATAATATTATTAAAAAAATGTATTAAAAAATTATTTTAATTATTAAAAAGTATTTAATAATTTCAAAGAACGCCTAAAAAATCTAGTTACATATCATATTAGTAAAGGGAAAGAAGATATATCTTCCTAAAGTAATTTTGTTTTTAAATAACATTTAACCCTTAATGCAATGATTTACATACCCACATACTTGCTGCACTTATCAGTTAATTGAATAATTTAGTTGATAAACTTATAAATAATTTCAAACGTTAATAAAAAGAAAATTATGATAATGTATTTTTTTTTTAGATTTATTCATAACAATTTATTGAGAATTTTGTAATACTTTTTCAAACTTGACCGAGTAAAAATTAAATCAACATTAATCAAAAAAATAAAAATAACTATAAATATTTAAAGAATCACATTATATTAAAAAAATATTAATTTAAATATTTATTCAAGTTTCAAATACCTGCCCTACGATTATTTATAAACACGAAAAACAAAATCGATTTCATCGAAAATTAACGTGGTTAAAGTAAATATTTCCGACTATTTTTAAAAACTCTTTAGATTTTTACTATTTATTCACAATTAAGTAACAATTAAATATTTACAATTATTATTATAACTATTGAAAATGTATAAAATTTCAAAATGTTATTATTCTTATTAAAAAAGCGTCTACAAAATCCAATAAAAAATAAATAAAACACTAAAGAGTGTGTATGAGAGGAAAATATATTTATCTTTCACCCTCGCATATCATAGATAACAACCCTTTTTTTTATCTGTCGTGCATTTAATTATTTTTGTAATTTTTGTGTAAAATACCAGCAACATTTTATCAAAAAAACCAAAAATTATTTTGTTTAAATATTATGTTACGATATAAATGCATAAAAATAAAAATAATAATAATACATAATTGTACTATTTTTGTTAATTAATTTATTGTTACAAATAACTAATAACAGTAATGACTATTTAGTTTTTCTAGTTTGTTCTAATAAATGAATAAATAGTTTATAAAATTGTATGATAAAAACATATTGTAGGGAGTAGGTGTAGCATAGAGGTAATATGATAATAAAAGCTTATTCTACCCTAGAATATACATATTTCCAATCACACAATTATATTTACAATAAACATTAAAAAATAATAAATTCTAAGAAATGTGTAAAAAACAAAATAAGGGTTTTCGAATTCTCTGAAAGTATTTTATATCTATATTGTTCACGGTTTTGGGCTTATAATAGTATAATACGACAAAACTTTTATGCACATTTTTACAGTGACAAATAGGTTATATATAAATCATAGATACCGCAAGTGTTTTAAATTGTTTTGGACTAGATTTGAAATTATATCAAAATACTATGGTCTATGAGCCACTGTAGTGAGAACAAAAATTGATACAAATTTTATATATATATAAATATTAATACATGTTGTCATTTCTATTTTACTTAGGTTTAATAAAAATAAAGATAAATTTGTACGATTCAATAATTAAAAAAAAAAAACCACAACGTTTTCATCAAACACAATTTTAGATAATCGTCATCTTCTAATATTCCACTGAACAAACAAGAGTTTAACAGTAAGCATAAATACAATAAATACTTTCAAATATTAGTCATGAAATAAAATAGTCGACATTGTAACCATATTCGATAATTTTCGACTAACCCAAGTATTTTATTTTATCATATTAATTACAGCACACCAGAAGAAATTAAAACAGTTTGTATATTATATTCGAATTGCAGATAATTTTGTAATATTCAGTAAGAGGCGCCAACGTGTAAAAATATTATTAAGATTATAGTGTAGAGACCTATTAATTCAATTAAAAATTATTATCAATGGTAATTTGTTCATTATATTGTTCATGTAATCATGTAATGTATTATCTATTTATTTATGAAATTTACTTATTGTCATATTATTGTACAGATTTTAAATTGTCTTGTTTAAATAAAAAAAAAAACCACGCATTACGATTAATGAATTATCCAATAGTTTTTACATATACAAACAAAGTGAGGAATTGTATTTACAAGAATTTTTGTGTTAGCTTTATTATAAAATAGAAAATTTTAATGACCATAAGTGCATTTCATTAAAATAGTGACGACCGTCAAATAATCAGTTATTTTTTTTAAATAAATTCTCGAATCAAAATATTTCAACACATGTATATTATTATATATTATTAGTTGACTTTCGTCTTTCAATGAATATTCTGTACAATAATAAATTAATTTCTTAGCAATTTTCGTGATATTATGCACTTTTGTAAAAACTTTAATGTGATGTATGTATTATACTATTATTAATAAAATCATAAAGCTTAAAAATTATTAAGACTGAATAACATTATAGAATAACGAAGTTTGTTTTGAATTTTAATAATATGGTTATTATTATAATGTGTACTAAATTAAGTGTTAGATATAATTTGACCATACACACTTTAGTTTCTGTAATAAATGTTTTTTATTTTTCATTTTCAAGATCGAATATTGAAATAGACTACGAGTGAAAAATAATATTATCGTGAGATATCATTAGATCTACACAAATTAATTATCTATTTAAAGAAATAATATTGCTATGTAGTATGTGGGTATAAGCTAGCACGTTTAACAGTTCAAAACATTCATGTACTTAAATTGCCTGCATAATACGCCGTGTAACCCACTGAACAAAGTGTCATTATTTTTTACAAACGATTGTCTTAATACAAGAGCAGACAACTACAATAATTATAATTATAAAACGTGTCATTTGTCGATTTTATTTATTAAATAACAAACAGTGCTTACACATACACAATCGAAAAAGTAATAATCTTCTCTTTATTTTTTTACATGTAAATTGAAACAAAATTAATGATAGTGTTAAAATATTATACTTGAACAATGATGAAAATTCTTGCAAAAAGTAGGGAAAATAAAGTGAATGAAACGGGTGAGGATGTAGTCTATAGTCGTAATATTTGACGTTATAATAGTTAAATAATTCTTGAAATCACATTAAAATACGAATGATATAACAATATTACGTATTGGATACCTGTATTATGCCAACAATTGTCGTGCATATTTCGGGGCTAATGTCGCTTCCCGAAATTTCGAACACGTGTTTCATATAGAATATGATAGCATTGATGCCGGTCGTCTGCTGGAAGAACATGCAACCGATGCCGATCGTCAGTGCCCTCCGATTTACGTCCTTCTCAAGCACCTCACGCGCAGTATAACTGTTCTTTTGTTCTTCTTCGATAAATTTCTACGGTGGTTGCAGAAATAATTATCATTAAAATTATATTTATTTGGGTAGTTGGGCAAATTTAAACGTTAATATTAAGCATACAATACGATCGGAAAAAAAATGAAACGAAAATTTGTACTTCAATTACATAGTTTACTATTATTATAACACAATTAGGCATTTTACCTGTATTTCGGTGAGTTCAGACTTGCAGTCGTGACTGGCGTCTCGAAGCCGGGCCAACGCTTCTTCGGCGCAAACTTTTCTGTCTTCCTGGATCAGAAAATACGGCGATTCTGGAATGTACAGCACTCCCAGTATGTGGATCACCATCCACACGCCACACGCCAAATTGAGTTGAGTATAATTCAAAAAATTTCCAAGCACGTACGAGTACAAAATGCCGGACACGACAAATAACTGATAAAAACCACCGAGGAACCCTAAAATTCAACGAATTATGTAGGTAAGTACAAAGAAAAGTACTTATACTATTTACGAACAATTGACGTATAGTTTAAGAAATTTTCAAATTAGGAAAAAAGTTCTAGAAATTCACATAATAAGATTTTTATTCCGGATTTATAAGCATTTAATGATGTATAATTTTCTCACAATTTTCATTGTATATTTAAATACATTATATATTATTTTTTGGTATATAAATTGAGCATCGATGAAATAAAATACCATTATTATAAAAAAAAAAAAAGCATAAACGATTTAGATCGACGATATTATCTGTGTTTTGTAAATTATTTATCACTTATTTATGCGTAATTACCCATTATAGATTCAGAGCATTGTGACGATTAGATTGATTTTACAATGATATGTATATGATTGCTTATTAGTGATAAATTATATAGTAATATTAGAAAAAATATCATGAAATATAACTTATAAGTACTTAATGGTATAGGCTGATAGAAGTCTCAGCTCAGAATCGTTTTTCGTGTACACGAAATGATATACTCGTATTAATGAATTCAATTTTAACACATCCATTGTATTGATCTACTCGTTGTCTATCACACACCAAAGCGGAATCCTTTTTCGTGTCTTTTTAAGATTATTTTCTTCATAGAAATCAATTATTAATACGAATATAGCTATCATATATTACTTTAAAATTAACACTTTTATAACCGTTCGGGCGAGTGTTTATTATAAAAAAAAAAAAAAAATAACTATTTGAGTAAATAACATGAATAGGTTTGTATATAAATTATTAATCTATATAAAAATTATCACACTTCACATATATCGATTGACATGAAGTCATCACAGAAATCCGGGATAACAAATTTATAATATAATATTATGTTATATACATATTATGCCATTATTACGCGGATATTTTTCGCCCCGGTCGATTCGTCTGTTGAAGCATATTATTATAAATATTGTTCGTAGCTCCGATAACAGTAGCATCCGGTTGTACATATATTCCACAGTGCATATTTATTATATTAATAACAAAATGGTCGGGATAAAAACCTCGGATCTCGGGTTCGGCTATCTCGCCAACGTACATGGGTATTATGGTGCACATGGCACCGCACCCGACGCCCTGCAGTATCCGGCCCACATACAGCATCCGGGCGGCCTTTGGAAACGCGATCATCAACCACCCGAATACCACGTGCGCCTCGCTAACGATGAGCGACACACGCCGGCCGAAAACGGAAGACACGGCGCCCGCCGGCACGGCACCTATCACAGCACCAACGCCGAACAGTGAGCATGCGGTCGCCGCGGCCATGGACGACACCTCGAAGCTAACGGCGGACCCGTTCTCGAACATCGTCAGCGTCGGCGAGGACCATCCGAGCACTGTGCCAATGACGAACGCTCCCAGAGACGCTGAAACAAAATCCATGTATAATTTACGTGTACATTATTATTATTATTATAATATATTATAAAAAATAACGTAGGAGTGATTTCTCATATATGTATACAAGTAGCCAACGATTTAGACATTCATTGGGATTCAAATAATTTTAAAATTACATATAAAATTATTATGAGTTAACTAATATATATATATATTGTAGTTAATGGATAGAATAAATAGATAAAAATATGTGTCATTAGGTTTTAATCATTATTGCGCAGTAGAGAGAAAACAGAAAAAAAATTAATATATTAATTTTAAGTCAGATTTCGAGTTGCTTGTGGTGGATTGCAGTGCTGCCGTGCTGGGTTATTGTATGTGCAGGGTAGAACTTGAAAAATAATATTGGATAATTTTGTCATTTAGTTTTACAATCAGAAAAAGAAAAATGAACTATTTCTACTGTTTCCATTAGTCTTTGTACGTCGGTCACAACTATGTTGAAACTTTATTGCAGAGATCATGAAGATTTCTATTCTATTTTTGTTTGAGTAATTTCCTATGCGTTTAAAATAAATATGTTTTAAATCCAACAAAAATAAATCTGCGCTATTTATTAAATTAAAGGTTAATTGATTTGAACACATTTTTATGACATGGTTATATATTAATTCGGTTAAACCGTGATTTTCAGAAATGCGCAGTTGATAAAGTGCACATCGTCATTATGATATGATATGCATTTTATTCCGCAAAATACATATATAAAATACTATCTTAAAAAGTTATTCGAAAAAGTTTGAAGACTTTCATTTAAAAGTTTCATCCTACAATTATTTTATAATATTTCGGCTTCTATGTGTCATATCATAGACAAACAGTTGATACAATCGATATATTATTTTGTCATTTTTTTCAAGTTTTAAGTAAATATACGTCTCATTCGTCGTATTTATATGAATAGGACGTTTTATTTTTCTACCTATTACTTTTGAATATGGATTATTGTGTTAGTGTTGGAATCAACTAATTAATAGTTGAAAACCAGCAGAGTATTTAATAAGTTATATTTTGAACATTGGGTTTCTTATAAAAATTTTATTTTTCTCCTCAATCCTCACCAAATCCAACTTTAAATTGAATAAAAACATTGAAAAATTGTTTGATATTAGAGTGTTAAATATATGCACCATGTTATGCGTATATATATTGTCATTTAAATTATCGTCAATAGTTTAGTTCGATTGCATTAACGAGTGCATACCTGTATAATATGTATATTCCATACGAATCGTATTATGTGATGTGCTATATGCGTTATGGAAGACCATGATACCATGATCATTATTATTTAAAGAAGTATTTCGATGTCATAAATAAACTACGTAATTATGTGTATTATATTACGTCCTAGTGACATTTGAGTAGAGCGATGCCATCGAATTTGGACGTCTGACAACAATATATTTTTTATTTCACGCTTTATCATTTTATTTTCATTTCAATATAATATGACTGCAGTACCTTGAAGAAATACATTTATTCACAATAATAATCATATTTTTATTTGTTACGATCTCGCGATATTTATTATATTATATGAATCGGACAAGGAGAAAAAATTGACATTGCAGTCCAGGAACGATGATCGACTAGAATAACAATTAATCGATATGGAATATATTAATATCGAACTTATATTTGTTTATCTTACATATCGGATTTAAGACATTATCTATAATGTTGCTAAATTGAAATGATTTCATTAGAACATAATAATATTCTTTTTCGACTAGTTTATTGTAGCTGATACATAACATTACAATTCATTATAATTCAAACGTTTTATCATTGTGTAAATCGATTGTTGGTACGTACCTGATAATGCGAAAACAATCTGAGGTATTTTATCGTTCACAACACTCAACATAATTCCAACAGATTATCGAGATTCGGAACGTACGATTTAAATACACACGGTATACATTCGGTCCGACTTCCTAAGACTAGTAGGTGATTAAGTTTTATCTGAGTCTTGTACGCCAACTTCTTAAAATATTCAAAATAATTATTGTTCATGTAATTTGGCTATTATTGTCTTAGTATGCCTAATATGTTTTCAAGGTGCAACCTTTATATTATATTCGTTTGACAGATGAATGTTTTACGGTTTGTTCTATTGACATACGTTTTAAAAACATAAACAACTGTCTATAATCTAATATCCATATATAAGTACCTTCTTACTACATACTCGTCGTTCTTGATGCAAACCGATAACTACCGTATTATAATGGCACAGTGAATTATACATAATATATAAATAATATAATTTATTATTACTAAACATCGTACCATTTATGAATGTGATATTTTTAAACGACCTTTTTATTATCGACCTGTAATGCGGTTTTATATTATAATAATCTTGTTTGAAATAATGGCCCTCATTGTTACGACGAAAATGAAGTATTATCGAAGTTTTATTGCCAATTGGCCACGACTCGAAATATGATAATAAAATGTCATAGTAGCTGCGGTAACTACAACGGTTATGAACGCATGCTGTGTAAGATTGAGTAGGTAGGTGATGATTTAAGCAGTTGATCAGGATCAGTAACGTATATTTGCGTTAAATTCAGTTAGAGTACCATGAATAATAACTAATATATGCTGCAGCTCTAAATCTTAAAAAAAAAAGAAGGTTTAAGTCTTTATACCGTATTGCAGAGAGCAGAGAGCTCAACTTTTATTCGTATGCGATACCGGTTGCATACCTACGTTTTATTACTGAATTTGAACCGTATAACTTACTGTTGAACATATGTACATTATGAATAAATTATTTTTTTTGTAATACCGTGAATTTCGGTATGTTAGTTATGTAACACAGTATGAATTAAATGATTTATAATATTATTTTAAAATAAAATATTACTAATGCAAAATTCAAACACTTAAATTGTTGTAGATACATTTTAAACAATTAATGCACTGTACACACGAATTGTAGACGTTTGTTTAACAAAAAAAATCTATGGTTAATCAACAAATAACATCCATGCAATGAAATATTTAAAACAATATAATAGCAATGTAATTTTCAATAGATATTTTAGTCATTGATTATTTATAACTAAAAATAGTCTAAACAGACTAAACTCATAATTGATACAGTAGCTAATGCGTTTCACCGTTCAAACAGTGTTTTACATAAGACTTGTCAACGAAGCGTATTAATTTCAAAACTGAAGCTAAATGTGTTTTTGATTTTAATGCAAAAGAATAATGTCTTATTATACTCCAATCATCTAGTATTTTAGTGATAAACTGATAGATACTATTAATGCAAATACAATAATTTTTGCGGCGTTGTTTTGGATTTTCGAAAATATCACTTTAGTTAATTTTCTTACAACACCATTTCATTAATAAAAAAAAACATAATAAATATGGATTTCTAATCTAAATTCTAAATTATATTAAGATAAAATATAAGACAAATTATAAGATATTATTTCAAAATAATTAAATGATGCTTAATAAATAATTTAAATAATAAATTACGTCATTGTGTACAGATATTATAAAAATGTTGGTATATAAATCGTAAACATATATTTTTTTCTGCCACCTAGAATTTTGGTGTGGTTATTTGTTATTTAAGACCACGCAACTAAGTCATTCAAAACTAAGTTGATAGAATGAGGTAAAGTACTTTAATAGTAATTGAATTGATTAGATAAACGTTTGGCGCGATCGATTACTCCATCGGTTATTATTACGTTTATGTTTATTACGTAATCGTAATAATAATAAAAAAAATATGGAGTATTATGATTTATGACTTTTGCAGCTATTCGATATACTAAACCTTCTAATCATAAACTGTCATTTTAAAAATTTTAAAAATAAATATTTCCCTTGTCAAAATGTATTACCTTCAAAACCTATGACCGTTAATTTTATTTAAGTTACTAATTAGCTGATGTTTTCATAAATTTAATATAATCTAAAGTATAAACTTAACAATAGGATTTATTTCCATTTTCCAGTGTGTTCAGTATAGAATGATATTATAATATTGTTTATTATAATATATATAAGATGTTTCATGAATGTATTTGTCATGGAACGATACATACACAATTCGATAGGAAAAATGTACAAAGATAAATGTTTCAGAAGACCTATTTTTATAAAATATTAATTTCAAATTTGTGTACCGCTTCAGTTAGCACGTCATACAAAAATCAATTTCCTTTAAAACCACATAAACCGTTATTTTAAAACAGGATCTTGGGAGTATAAACACTATAAACTGAATACAAATATTCTATTTTTTGTGGACTTTTGTTCATTATAAATAGACTTGTGTCTCATAATCAGTAGTAACCGTATGACAGTTTAAAATGTTGGTGAATTGAATTAACTGTATTGACTGATACCCTTTTTAAAGCAGAAATTAGAAATCCAAAATACTTATTATTTTATTTTTTTTAAAGTAAAACTTTTTATGACCTTAATTTAAATATTAATGAAAGAATAACAGTGTCGTGAAATCGGGTCGTGACGATTTAAACAGAAATAATAAGACGCCCAAACTTTCATGCCCAATATCAAAAATATCAGTTAAATGAATTGAAATTAACTATCATAATATTATACTCTTAATATATAAAAAGGATGACTGTGAGGTAAAAAAAAAATAATATTTTTTTTAATTAATAATGTAACTTTACACGCAGCATAGAATTCGACGACGGTATATATATTATAATATTAGCTATTTTATTACTATATTGGTAGTACCTATAAAGAGATGCATATTACATGATACACCAATACAACCGTCACACGTTTATCGTTCACATATTATGTTATGTACCATTTACGATAGTTCGCTGAAGAGACTCAATCGGTGGACATTTTATGTTGTTTTATTGCGAAACGGCCGACTGAATATATAATATAAATAATATAAATAATAATTAATGATAATATACAACCGACGAAAACGTGTCTCAAGTCGATACGATATAACTACGCGTCGTCAATCGTTAATGCGTCATGATCATCACACATCAGGGACGATATATGATAATGTTTTGGTCCGCGGCCGAGTCGTAAAAATATAAAATAAAACTCATCCATAATAATATAATAACACCTCACGTTTAAACATGTACATTGTATACGTTTTACAAATAATTATGTTCCGATAATTTTCGTACCTATACGATTTGACATTTAGATACGATTTACTTTGTCGGGTAATTAACGAGTACGTAAACCACGAGCGTGGTATAAAATGTGCACTCGGTAATCGTGTTATCTCCAGTGTAAAATTGATGTCTCATAAAAAAAAGACGTTTTATTACGACCATCGAGAGAAAACAATTTTTCATTTTAGAATCCTTAAGATAATATACACAATATATAATCATTTATAAAAAAAATCTTGAGGCACTTTACATTTGAACAAAAAGTTAGTACAATAGTTAATATGTATCTTTCGGTTTCATTGTAATTAATAGTGCCATATACGTTTATTTTTTACCTCGGCATTGTCTGAGGAATACTGAATTCATTGCCATCGACCATTGTGTGACATAATATACCTACATTTTGATTAGAGAATCTAAGTTATAGGTACTTTAAAAATTTATTACATCGTATAATATTATTTATCATTGTTTGTTGTATTTGGCGTGAAAAAAACTAATATTATTAGAAACTTCCATACCTGCGTAAAACAATGAATCTTTTTAAGAACTCAAATCAAACTAATACATTTATAATTCAATATTTACAATGATTAAATAAAATATTTTAATAATTGATTTTCGATGTTATTATATTATATTATATTTATATATATATATATGTGTGTGTGCGTGTGTATACGAACTTATTACGTATAATTAATCGATTAGTTATTATATAATTAAAATAAACGCATATGAAATTAGAGATGATAAAATGCAATTATTACATAATAATTATATACGCATTATGTTTTTTTTAATATTTAATATTCATTATCTCTTTTCATTTTTGTGTTATAAAAATATGTTACTATACCTATGCAAATTTTGAAAAAGATATTTATGAAGCCATATTTGTAGTTGAAAATAACTTCACATTTAGAAAGAAGGATGGTTTCTTTGATGAAATTAAAAAAAAATGATTTTCTTATGATATCTATATCTTCACTATGATCAGTATTTTTGGGAACTTAACATTTTTTTAGAGGGCTTAGCCCTTTCTAGCATCTCTCTTTGTTTTCACCAACTGCGATATTGTATCTCTAGTAATATTAAATAGTTTCTATATTTTTTTATTAAAATTGCATAACGACAGAAATAAACATAATTAAGTATTTTAAATATTATACGGAATGACATAAGAAATAATAATATTTTATTTGTAATATACTTTCGAAAATTTATCATGTTATTGACATTTCATCTTTGCTATTATAGTCCGATCAAGTTCAAAACCAAGCTCGTTGTCATTTTCCCGCATGTCAGTCAGCCCGAACGTCATAACGATTATAACAACGCAATACTTATTAGTTATTACTTAATGTATGAAAATCACTGGTCAAAGGACATATCCGGTTGCACCCAGTTACTTCGTTGTTATTATCGTTTTACTACAATATACGAGTACGTGACAAAACTCCAGTATCTATTGATCGCCATTGTTCAATATAGAACGAAAATTGGTAATTTGTCTTCCAATACCCAAACACCAGCTACATCTTTGCAAGATTTTAATAAATGTTTTAATACTTGATCGAATCATATTTCTTTTTCAATAGCCTTTATCAAGGAAAATTTATAAATAAATTAATATTTAATTATTTTATAATAAATCAAATTTATAATAATTATAAAATAAATTAAAATTGTATTAATTTTATAAAATCACAGATAACAATACAATATTTAATGTATTCAATTATTTTTAAGTTAACATTTGTATTGCTTGAAAAAATCGTATTTAACACAATTTTTTATAATTATATATATATTATATATATGTATAGCTATATTTATAATCAGTAGTCATATTCTTTTATGGATACTATTAATTATTATATACATTAGTATTAATTTTGTTTTTAATCAAGCATTAAATGATATAATAATATTATTTACTTATATGATTTATTTAACACTAAGTTTACATTACAGTATTACACAAATAATAATTATTAAACTTATTATTCCTGTAATTTGTGTTTTGTCCAAATAAATCTAAGTAATACAATCATTTTTAATTTCTCATTATAAAGTATACAATATTAATATATATTATATCTGCTAAATTACTGTTAACAATTATTGTGATAATCTTGTAACTATTATTGTCTCTATTCATTTGCATTATAAAAGCTTAGGCTTGTATACGTTAAAATTTTAATTCTATCAATATTTTATTGATTTTAGTTAATAAAGGCAAATAAGCTTTAAAAATTATTTTTAAAAAGTAATTATTTTTATAAAACTATTCATACACACAATTTGCTCATTAAATTTACTGGCTTTTTTTTTTTTTTTTGCTTAATGGTAGAGATAAAATATAATAATTTATTACTAAAAGATATAGTTAAAATAAACAGACTTAACATGCATATAATATAAATATGCAATAAAATACCAACTATTATGAGTGATATTAAAACTTAAATTTTTTCAACCATAAATGGTATAAATAGATATTTATATCGTGATAATATACATTATATTTTCGACCTTTGCATAATAAATGGTCACGCGATTCGTCTAAGGATAAATACACGTATTAATATACACATTTCGCTTAAATCATCATGTATTATCTATATGCATATATTTACTTGCAGCTTATATACCATTGAAATGTAACTTACTAACAATAATTATATTTAAACAATATGCTTAAACAAAAAAAATATGTTGTATAACTCTAATATTCTTCAATTGTACTTAAAACGAAAAAATAAAAAATAACCTTAAACATAAGAATATAATTCAAATGTTCGTTACGGTTTGTTATATTATGTATGGAATATATTGATTACAAGTACTGAAAATCTCATTGAAAAACTTCGACCAAAATCCAAACGTAGGTTTATGAAAACGTGGTGGTAGTTTGAACTGCCTCGTGCTCCGCAGCCTCCACAACATTGACCGCCCTTGGAAGCACCTCAGACTTTCCAACGAGTTTCAGTTGTATTTCAGCCAACGTCTTGTTTTTCGTTTCCGGTACGATGAACGCTGCAAACGCTGCTCCCATCAAGCAAAACACACTGAATGTTAGGAAGCAACCGGCCTGGCCCAGCCAGCGAGTTAGTTCGGTAGACACATACGTGACCACAAACACTAACGTCCAGTTGGTACAGGTAGTCAGACTCGTGCCGATCGGCTTCACCTGAAATTCGAGAGTATATTGGATTTAAAATTATCACTCACATAAAAAAAACCCCTTCTTTTATTGCCATTGTATAACTTTTTATGCATAATAGTATAAATCACCACAAGTTAATTAAAGATTAATTTATATTATTGAGTACAGACAAATTAATAATTATTTTTTTTTAAATTATATTGGAATTAAGTACTTAAATAAAATATATTTAATAATGTACACGACAAATAAAATAACTGTTTATGATATAATTTGATTATTATATAGATATATAAGTTTAATAAAATCATAACAGAAATTTAAAGAATTAAAATATATTTTGATAAAAAATAAAATGGGTTTTTGAAAGAAAAAGATTTTGCTGTTTCGTTTTATTATATTATTATATCTTGTTATCATTACACGCCAGTTTAAATTTGTTCATAAATAATTTTTTTTTTTATTTAAACATTAACATGACAGGTAACGTATGGCTATAAAAATAAGACTTCGCAGTTAACTTAGTTCGTTGACGTTTTGTGTATACGCTAATATAGGATAAATTTACATGATTAAAAATATTTTGTTTTTACAACATTAAAATTACTTATAGGTAGTAAATATGAATATATTTAATCTTATTGGCGTAAATAATGTACTTAACAGTATTAAAATAAAAATAAAAATGTGTTATCTGAATTAATTTTATCACGAATCAACTACAAAAAAACTAACGAACTCTATGTCGACATTTTGAAGTAGAGTACTGGTGTGATAAATCTACTGCGTATCAATAATTAGGTCACACGCATACTATTGGATCGACGTCGACATGTTAAATTTTGTTGAATTTAAGTCTCGAAATATTGAAATTTTAACTTGTTACAAACTGTTATTAATGTACATTCTAATAAAATAACCGGGGAAAACAAAAACACCTAGTCAAAATATGTAAAATAAAATTTGTTGTGGATTTGGAACTCATGTTATGTCAAGTACTATCATCTTTCCGACGAGTCTTTCGGTCGAAAGCGATCAAATTAAACGTCGTCGCGGCACTGTATAATAATGCGTAGTAAATTGGAATGTTTAGTGTGTACGAGTATGCATATATCGCCATATGTATGACGCATAAATTCATTTATATGTTTTGTCGGGGGTGAGTGAGTTTTATTCCATTGTGTTGTCGAAGCTCGAGACCAAATTGGCAGAGTGAAACGTTTATTAAGCCGCAGCCGGTCCCGTGACATTGTAATGGCACATACGTATAGTATATATAGGTATAAATCGGCCCCTTCACGCTGTTATACTTTATTTTATCATCGGTCCAATTACACATTATACGAATACGTACGTGTATGATACATAATTGTACGTATACGCTGTGCTTTGTAATTATTATTATTATTATTATTATTACTATTTTTGTAAACGCGTGTACTCACTACTTAATATACAATATAAACTATATATAATAATATGCAGGCAGCCACAATTAATTCATTTCGAATGCGAAGACGGTGCTCGACGCTCGTATAATGTTGTCGTTGTAACGTTTTTATGCGCGTTTTGATATCGAACAAAGTAGGCATACATTATACACTAATACACTATATATCAGGGGTGGCCAACGTGAATAGGTTCGCGAGCCACATAGATAAATACAATGAAACCAAGAGCCAAAATGTTTATAGACACATTTTATATAATATGATAATTTTTTAAAAGCCAATACCTAAAAAATTAAAATTCATAATGACATTAAGTTAATTTTGATTTTTTAAATAAGACGCGAGCTGCATCTGACAATGACGAGAGTCACATGTGGCTCGCGAGCCGCAAGTTGGCCACCTATGCTAAACATTTTACTATCAAACAATATAAATGCTGCATTTTATTGGTAGCTGATTAATTATCGTTCGATCCTTATATTTTTGTATAAAGATATTTAAATATATGATCCTAGGCATACGATCGGTAAGACAAACATTTTATAGCGAGACGAGCACCGATAATCCAACGCATGGCTGTTGACTGTTGTCGTATCACACAAATGTATTGTTATACTATTATGATATTATATACGACGCTCGATGGGGCGCGTAAAAATAATATTATGTATCGTAGTGAAACCGACTTTGAGAAATTCTTGAGCGTTACAAACCTCCGACGAATATATTTCACCCATCATTATCCAAGGCACAGGACCGTAACCGATGGAAAACGCCGATATGTACACAGCGATGCACACTAGGGGCAGCCAGTTGAGTTTTGATGCGAGTTCTAGATAATGAGTTTTGATTAAGAAAAATCCACCCAAACCAGCATAGCAGTTTACCATTAGTAATGCCGAGATCACGAGTAATGCTTTTCGACCACTTTTGTCAATGATCGTAAAAGATACGACCGTCATGATAAGCTATAATACAAATAAATAAAATAATCAGTATTGAAATTGATAGTTTAAATAAAACAGTGTTATAATTTGCAATGTATTTTTTTTTTCATAATAATGGTATTTGAAAATCTTAAAATATTTTCGGTTTTGCATGTTTAACAGTTTACACATTACATATATATATATTATAAAGTACCATTATAGACATTAGACTTTTTTGTACGGAGCTATCCTCCTCGATATGACGAATATAATGTGAAGTCTTATTATAATAATATATATTTATTATTTATAATGGATATTAAGTCTTATTCAGTGTTACTCAATTAGTATTAACTCGTGAGTGACTAAATCATTAAAACTAGGAAGGTAATATTTTTATTCTTGTATAATATTATGTGAACAGCAAAAATACTCTGAGTAAATCCAATGTATATGATTAGTTTTATCTCTCATAGAAAAAAGTTAATTGAACGCGTAATATAATTTTTTAATTTATGATCGACATAGAATACTGTCGATAGATGTTTAATGTGATTTATATATTTTTATTATATTTTTTTCGTTGACTAGCAAACAATTTTTTTATTAAATACGAACCACTCATAATACTGTAATTATTTTATTCTATATCGTTTTCAAATTTCTTTAGTTCTACTTGTGCCTTAATTGTCGTCACTTTATTACCTGTACGACACCGACGATTATAGTGCATGCATTCGGACTCATATTGCTGCCGGTCGATTTAAATATATCGGCCATGTAGAATATCACCACGTTTATACCACTCATTTGCTGGAAAAACATGCATCCAATACTGATCAACAGGGCTTTGCGATTAATTTTGTCAGACAGAACTTCCAACACCGTATAACTTTGTGATTGCTGCTTTTCGACAAATAACTGAAAAAAAATTAAATTGGGAAACTCCATATTTCACTCTTCAATACCTAGTGAATTATTTTACACTCCATCGATTGATATATATATATTTATATACTATAATATATAGTTGAAATTTTTAATACCATGATATATTATATTAATTGTAAACCCAACTTCTCCCATAAAAAATTGAACAAACATATTGCGCTATATCTTTGCATCTCGGTTTTAGTTTACCTTAGTTCACTTGAAAAATCATAAATTATTTTTCTTGTACATTTTCATAATAATAATTTTGAAATAAACTGAAAAAACTTAAATTATTACAATCCTGACAATAAAATAACTAATAACTGACAGTATTATTCAACTTTGCCAAAGAAAAATGTTCACTATTTTTTTAAATTTTAGTTTACTGATCAGATGGTACCATTGTGTTTTTATTTTATTACTCAATATTCCAAGTACAGGAGTTTATTCTACAACAATTATGTTTATAACTTGTTCCATAGTGTGCTCTTTAAACATAAACAGCCTCTTTCATATCCGCTCGGTAGTTTCCGATATACATATATATAATATATTATAAAATCAATGATTATAAAATTATTTTACATATTATACACTTCGATCTTACCTTGATGGATGCCAATTCTTCAGTCGTGTCCGACGAGTCTCGAAGTATCTGCAGCGAAGCGGCCGCTCGATCGAGATCATTGATGTTCATAAGATGGTATGGCGATTCGGGTATGCACAGGACGCCGACAAAATGTAAAATCACCCAAAAAGCGCAAGCAATGCAATACGGCACGTAGTTCATAAACGCGCCTGTCGTGTACGAAAATAGTATTCCGGTGACTATGAATAATTGGAATATCGTTCCCAGACGACCTACCGATATACATTTTGGATGATACAGTATAATATTAATAGGTACGTGATATAAATAAATATAATACATTTTAATGGAAAAATTGGTTCCCAGTTACCAAATTGGTTCTCGGTTAGTCTATAAGATATACATAGTTATGTTCTACTCATATGAATTAGTTACCGGGTGATCTACAGGTAATATAGGATATGGTTTCCATGAATTTTCGTTCTAATAACACGCAACTATGTTAAAAATCAGCTGCTGCAGTTGAAAAAATTATTGTATACTTCGCTGACAATAGTTTCCTTCTCATTTTTCACAAACTCGAGCGTGTACGGAATACCAATATAATATAGTTATTATGTTTTTATTTCTATTCAACCTATATACAAAATATAAGCAATAAGTTATATAACAGCGTATTTTTCTATACTGATAACAATAAAATAGTTTTATAATGATAGTCTAACATGCGACTCAATATCAAATACGTTTAAGTTAATTATAATAAAAAATAAAAACAAATTAATGTGATACGCATTTATAATAAACAGTTTTTATGATTTGTAAACACCGCATAAAACAATCATTAAATTTTTTCATTTATTTTATTCCACTAAATAATTTTTTCTTTTCAGTTGTTTTTCTTGACTTTAAGCACTAAGTGGACTTTTTATATTTCAGATATATTCCAAACTAGATTTCTTTTTAAATTAACGAAAATAATATTCTAGCGGGAAGAATACAATTTTAAATTAAGTTTTTCGTTAAATTATATCCAACAATAAGTAGTTTATTCTGAAATGAGCTCTGTTCTAAAATACCTAGATAAAAACTCTGTTAAAACTGTTGGTATAAAACTGCAGCTATCAGATTTAAATAGTATTATAGGTACATATTTATTTATATAAATCAATTTGAACAGTTAAGTTGTAGGATAGTAAGTAATTTTTATCCACAGAAACTACAATAATTCATATCTATCTACACTTTTTTTGACCCAGGAACCAATTCTGTATTTTAATTACACCTAGCTATACGATTGCGCGTGTTTTATCCATAGCAGTTAAAGTTATCTTAAACACTAATATCTAATCGAAAATCAGTTTTTCACAAAAAAAAAAAAATAGCACTTTGAAAATATAACGCAACACACCTCTCATCCGGGGTTCAGCTATCTCGCCGACATACGACGGTATGACGGCGCATAGAGCACCCGCTCCGATACCCTGAATCATCCGGCCGGCGGACAGCAACCAAACGGCAGTGGGAAATATCAGCATGATCCAGCCGACTAACAGGAATCCCTCGAACAGCATCATACTGGTCACCCGACCGAACACCCTGGACACGTATCCTGCCGGAAGTGCTCCCAGGGCCGCACCGATGCCGAACACTGAGCTGAACGTTTGGGCGTCATTTAGAGTAACGTCAAACGGCAACAGCGATTCGTCCGATTCGAACATGCTTTGAGCCGGTGACGACCACCCAAGTATGGTACCGTTGGCTATCGCTCCCAGTGCCGCTGAAATGAATGAATTATTCCGATGACAATGTTGGACAGACATGATTTACGATTTTCAAAAAACAAAAAAACAAAACGTTTGGGTCAATCGACTTTAAAAATCATTACACGACATCGGCCTTACTTTTACGTCGAGTGTCGTCAATCCTTACATGAGAGAAGAATATCACGCTGTAGCCTTCAACCTTATTATTGTGTTTAACTGGTTTAAGAATCACGGTAAAAATTACATACAAAACTCATGGCTCGATTAGTATTTTGAAAATTGCAAATCAACGGCTCCTGTTGATAGAATTTGGTAGCATTCTCCAAATGTCATGAACAACATTTTTAATTTCGAACCACAATGTTACTCAAATAGTATAATTACATATTAAAACGACAACATCTACAATTATTATTAATAAATAATAAATACCTAAGTGCACGCAACACGGCGAGTTATCACAATACGCATAATAATAATTATTAAATACCCCATACGCATAGCTGCAGATTTAAAATAATATTTAGTTTCATACAGCAGTTTAAATAACTTTATCTTCGGGCACCGATACACAAAGATTAACGCATGTATTAAAATCGAGGTATGAAATTGTATCTGAACTCCACTTAATAATTAAAGCCATGGCCCGTGAGTCATATTGTTGAGTTATATAACAATACCAGGTTATGATTATTTTTAATTGACAGAAGCGATTAAATATTTTTCCGCGTCGTGAAATTCACGTTGGGTTTTTCCTTTTTCCTTTTATCATAATGTTCCAAGGTATACAGTTTGACTGTCGTCATAATGTTTTCGTACGTAAAATGTAAACGAAATAATTTATTTTACCTTTGTGGCTACTCTCACCATTTGACCCCGATGGACATAACGTTAATACGTATACCCGGCAAATGTTGTTTCTTATCAAAATTAATGTAAACGATACTACCCAATTTTCCGGGTAATTAACAATGCGAGTTTTTGTCGAGCAGATACAACGATAAACCCAATTTTCGTAGATGAAAAACTATACACTTAAGTTATAATCGCTATTCGCCGGTAATAACGCGTAATACGCTCCAGTATCATAACAGTTATGTTGTTGCCTATACGATACTTTTAGCACACCGTTAAAATAGCCGTGAGAAAAACTTTCAAATTATTATTACGGTTTCCAGATCTACTGTATATGTACGGACTATATATATATACACACAATTGATGCTAATCGTATCCTTGATAATCTTCAAAAGAGTTCTAAAATATAAAATTTAGTAAGTGCGACGATATGATTGTCAATTGCACAAAAGGTTGGACAACGCACGTTCAAACGAATAGCTCGGAAGGAATTCCTTTAGAACCTATGTTTTCAGAGCATGTAATATAATTTATTTTCATATTGTTTCTATAGAATCGCAAGATTATTAAAACAGATCATACGTAAAATTATAGGAGCCGGTAAAACGATTTCGACGTGGGCAATACTCGAATTAAAATTGAATCATAATTTAAACAGATCAATTACGTTATTGTACACAGTAATGTGTATAACACGTAGTTGATTCGGAGAAATTCGTTTGACGCAGATGGTTCACTGTCGAGTGATAACGGCGCTAACTAATAACAAATATATACATTCTTCTTTAAAAAATAAACCTATACAGAGCCATTGAAACGAATGTACGAATCTCGCGTAGCTCGTAATCCGTTTGACAAAACCGTTTGAACCGAACAAAACAACAAACCAACTATCCCCACACACACCAAATTATAATGGGTCAATATATCATATTACGTTCATAAATGGTTCGTATCGTGCATTAATTATATAACAGATGGATAATCTGTTATTCGTTTTCGGTTCTTCGTTTTAATTTTGCCGAAGCCGTAGGTGCTCGGCGAATCCGACTTGAATATTAATAAGCAATGATAATATCATATAATGTCTCTAATCATTATTGACCGTACCAATGCTAATGACCGACGTGACGAATCCCAAAAAAACGTTTGTTCCGTCGCGGTTTAATGTATAAAACTGCAAGGCTATTCGAAGAACGAGTGAAATACATTGATATGTAGGTATATTACACGGTACGTATTTGTGTTATTCGTTTTATACTGCGGTCGCGAAGTTTGATTGCCGATATCATGTAGACATGGTCGAGTAATAAACTAATAATAAATCGATTACATACAATTATGTGATATAGGTACAGATGATGTAGGTACTTGAACCAGTGGTTGTCAAACTGCGTGTAACGCTAAGCCCGAAGGGAGAGCGTAAACCGAGTCAATAAGTCATTATATCGCGTGTTTGTTAACAATTTACAATTTATTATTAGATAATGCATAAGTCTAGAATTAGCACTATTAAAGCTTTTGATAATGTATGATAAAAAAATTATTATAAATAAACTTGAAGTTTTTTTTGATATCAATTTGTCGATACCTATTTACAATTTTATTATTATTATACTATTATAAATTTCAGTTTTATTTTTTATTTAAGCTCATGTCTGTAGATAAAGTTCGTAAAATTGTTTATATCTATGGACAAATTTATATGATAAAAATCTTCAAGTATACCTTATAAAAATAATTAAAAAGAAAAAACTACTGCAATAAAAAAAAAAAATAATAGATAGAATTATGCTATTCATATTATAATATAGCGACTAAACTATTAGCCACTTAAACTCCCTTTATCAACTTTTTTTTTTTTTATTAAAATCAGATGATTCTTTTAATATTGTCATAGTTTGTACAGGTAGCAAATTTAAACCAAAGCATTTTTATTCTTGCCTTTTTATTAACAAAATCATCAATTATTTTATTTATGTCTAATCCTTTTTTCATTTTTCATTTAACTAAAAATAATAATATATGATAGAAAAATTATGTTATTAGACTTATTTTATTCAAGCAGTGCTGTATAATTACTATATTCAATATAGTTGATAAACATATAATTTTTTGTAAGAAATTATAACTTATTACCTACTGGTAATATTAAACTTTGATTTTACAGTGATAAGTAATTTTTTTTGTATATTATATTAAAAAAGATTGTAGTACAAGATCTAAGTCTCCTCAGAATATAAATTTATGGTAGTTGTTGCATTGCACTTAGGATTAAAGTCTCGTATTTTTGTTAGGATTATGACAACATCACTCTGATAAGAGTAATCCATCCCATGATATTAATAATTACTTTTAAATATTTTTTTTTTTTTTATTAAATAAAAATGATTTTTAATAGTTTTTAAATTGATTAGTTAAAAAATACTTATTTTTTAAGTTAATCATAATAATGGTCCTTTAGTAGTATTAGTAACGCACCACCAACCCTACTGATCGCAAATCTTATTTCGACTTATAAATATTTTTTGAAAATTATTTCGAAATTAAAATTACTATAAAAATGTGATATATTCATTTTATTAAAAATAATATTAGCCACCAATCACAATAGGGTATGCAATATAAAGTATAATTTATCCATACCTGTAAGAATAGAAAGAGAACGTTTAAGAATATGCAACGATTACCATACTTAAATAAATCATTGCCATAATACTATTATTACGTAATTACTCGTAGGCCATAGCATTAAAATCGGTTGTTGTATTAATTATATAATTTAAATTTGTAATCTAATGCTTTACGAACGAATTGTTTAAGTCTAATAGATACATTTATTCAAGTTTCAAATTCTTATAAAACATATAATTATTAATCTGTTATAGTTTGTAATTTTCTAAAGATTGTAAACTCGTCCGATTCTTCATAAATAAAACTATTTGTATAATAAATATATAAAATATGAACTTTTATTTTCAATGTGAAATAAAAGTTGAATACTCACCAATCACCGTGACGATGAATTGAGCATTGATAGCTCCTCCTGATAGTCTGTATATCAGCATAAACTAAAATACAAAAATAACTATAATATCATTGTTGATTTTACACACACCACGTAATGAGTAAGTTACCGAAAATGAGCGTTTAAAATCAAATTATAACTTTTATTCAGATCGACTTACGATTTTTGATTTTTTATGATGATCCGACAAGGCCATTTCAATGAATGATAAACGTCCTTGTATGAAAATGGAAAATATATTAGTCTACATTAATCACATGCAAGTGTAGATATATACAATTAAATATTCGGTGTTGTACCTATCAATATATGGATATAAAAATTGCTATTTATATTGCAACTTTTTTTCCAGGTTTACGAATTTTATAAAGAATATTATATTTATTATTAAATGGTTGTCATATAGTATAAACGTCTGTCTATACCGCGGTATCACTATTGTTTAAGGATATATTTTTTGTACCTATTTAAACCGCGTTTATCAAGAGACAGACGGACGTAGACGAAACATGATTATTATTAGGTAGGTATACGTTTTGTATCCCCACTGTTTCTTTATAGATATTTTAAAAACAAGTTGCCTGTGCTTGAGCTTTACATGCACATATACGTTTATAATGATAGTATTATACAACACGCATCAATGGTTAACAGCGTTTATACACAGCGTCCTATGAATAAGACTTAATTTACAATAGGTCGCTAGACCATTTTTTTGTTTTTTGTTTTTTGTTTTTTTTTTGTGATTAGTAATAACGCGAGGACTAAAAGTGCGAATCCAAACTCTTTTCATACGATATAAAGTGTTCTACAAATTATGTAAACTTGCTTTGAAAAATATAAACTGTGAATTATAAATTCAAATATTTAGCATCTATCGCAATATAAACAATAACTTCAATACATCAACAGAATTGAGTAGCTTACTCGTTTCTGTATCTATTAAATTAACTAAGACTATTAATCAGGGCACAACAGGATTGAATTCGAAAAACTTTATAATAATCCTAAGACAGATATAATATATATGTTAAGTAAATTTATGACGAGCAATATTTTCATCACATTTGTCTACCCAAAGTATGTAGTATGTACAGTATCATTGATTATGAACCTTATTTTTGTGATTAATGATAATAAGAAGATGCCTATAAAGACGTACTTATGCATCTCAGTGTTCATGTTAATTGTCATCATAGGTTATATTATACTTTATAGTTTTTATAGTGCTTACGATCTATGGTAAATATACTATACATTTACGAGTATACGTTTGTTGATAAGACTATAATTTTTATTATAATTAATTATGCGATTTATTGTCAATAATAAAAACTATAAGAATACATTTTACACCGTCTAATTGTGACATGTAAAAGTTTTTACGAGTATCTGTCTCGTATACACTGTACAAGTAAATGTCAGTTTTATATTACTTATCTAGTTTTGTAGAAAAATGACTTTTCTTTGTAGCCAAAAATACTTATACAATATAATACCAGTATACTATAATATAAAAATAAGTTTTAAGGTTAATATTAAAAAAATCGAATCGGTTGGTAATAAATTATACAAATGCATTATAACGTTTTAAAAATATACAGCATAATTATTTATTAATGCCTTTCAAAATATATTTCACCGTTAAAAAAATTATTTATTATGAAAAATTAGTAGTTTGTAAAAAAAATATGTGGCAGGTACAATTATTTTAAACGTAATACCTACTCAATTACTTAATGAAAAAAATAATGATTTTTATTAACATTTAAAGTGTAGAAAGATTATTCTAAAACCGCGTAATACCTAATATAGTTTAATAGATAAACATAAACTTATTATTATAAAATAATAAAATACAATAATATAATACATAATAATTGTATCAAAATACAAGTAGGTACACGATAATCAATAATAAATATTGATCAATCATTGTGTTGATATATAATGTGTATAAAATGTGTATAATATAGGTATATCGCATATACGTCATTCATTATACGTGAGTTACGGTCTTGGGTCGTTGGGTTGGAGTTTCACCAGATTTTCGCAAATTTCCCAATATTTCTTGGCATTTCCTTCGTCTAAAACATCACTTCTCAAACTGCTTTCCTAAATTTAATAAACAAAGATTTCATTATATTAGTTCGATGTTTAAAATCATTTAAATTTTATCAAAATAGATTATAAAAATACTTCTGTTACATGTTCCTTTCAAATTTGAGCTATTAATATTATCACATGTATGCTAATCGAATTATAGATACATAATAGTGCGTCTTGAACGGTGAACCTTATAATCCCTACTAGATTCCCAACAATAAAATATATTACTCATAAGTTGTTTAAGATTTTAATATAATAATCTTGTACTTGATTTTTCTGTATAAACACTCTATAGCGGGGGTGAAAGCCATCTTGTGGCACGTGTTATTTATTATAGTTGATGCACACTGGCACGCGAAAACTTTTTGAGTGACATATGTCGACAGATATAGTTGGTAAGTACAAAACAAAAATTTCCCACTAATCTAAATAGTCGATTTAAAAAACTGATCGGTGTTTTTCAAAATAAACTTTAAAGTATATGATTAGAACAATTTTTACTATGCACAATACATAATGTTGTTAGTAATATTTTTAATATGTTCATTATCAATAATTATACTAAAGTTTCCATTAATCCAACGTCAACGTACGTTTAAATTCTCTTTGAAATTATGTTATTTCCGTCTATAATAACTACGATTATAACCACCGTGGTTACGTAAACCATGCTCTCAAATATAAGCGTATACAAAGTAAGGAGCTTATTATAACGGAAATCTCGAAAGTTGCGATTATAAGTCTATGGTAAGTTTATGATGGAAGTTAATAGTAATGGAACGAAGAAATCGTTAAATAACATAAACCATGGCATCAACGCTCACTAATTATTATTAATTATAGTTACCAAAAAACGGTATCAGTAAATTAATATAAAATAATAATAATAATAATATATGACAGTTGCATGCATACACATATAGGGGTTTTATTTTTAATTTGAAAGTGGGTGAACACCTTATTCAGAGCCACTGCATAATTATGCACGCACCTGCCACGTAATTAATTTCGTATGTATTCATCTTTACGCACGATGCGTGAAATAAAATATATGTCATGTAATAAAATCATATTTACTTTGCAGTCCTTAAAATATTTTCCACTAGTCTTGGCAACGTCTTCACTGACGGCCAAATAAATTGAAGTTTGTGCACCTTGTTCGGTAGTCTGAAAGCAAATCACATTATAATATGTAAATATATAATATAGGTAGTTAGACATGAACAGACTTAAATAAAACTGATTTTAAATAATAGTCATGCATTATAAATACATATTATACAGTGCATACAATAATATGAAAACACTAAACATCATACGTGTATATTATATTATAATTTATAGTTTAAATTACAAAATAAAATTAGGTATGATGTAAAAATACGGTATTTCATATATACTATTTTATACTTTTGCACATTACTTTTTATACGTGCATTATACTTTGTATAATATCACGCGAGCGTATTAAACTATAAATACTGAAGACAAGTATGATTAACTTATATATTATACAGTTTTTTTACTTATATTAAAATTCTTTGTTTAGATAATTACGCAAATTACAAATAAACTTTGTTCGTGCAAACATAAATGTATTATTTGACAAAAAAAAAATAAAAAAAATAGGCGTATAACAATAGAAAATTAAAAAATAAACTTATTTGTTAATGCACGATGATTTACTAACTTTAAGTTAAATATTATTAACAAATTAGTATCAATGAGTAACGACTAATTAGCCAACGAATAATAATTTTAGCAACTATAAATCATCGTCTTATATTTTTCATATGATGCAAATTTAAAAAAATAGTATACATCATTGTGTATAAAATAATTCTATACGACTAAATGTAGATATAATAATTAATAATTATTTGATACATTATAATTACATTTTCGTAAACTTATATTTTTGTCATAAATACATAGCGCAAATAATAAAAAGTGTATGCGTTTTATTATCATGTAATTGTGACACTGTGATAAAATGTTTTTCCATTTGCAGCAACATTTATGTTAAATTACATTTTGTCTATACGTATATGATACTAATACATACCTTAAACATAGTCTTTACAACCAGCTGCAAACCCAAGTTCAGCGGAAATGGCACATTTCTCCATATTCCAGAGTCAATGATACCAGGATGAAGACAATTGCACGTGACACCTGTTTGATACAAAAAATAATATTTTACATTTTGTCGATTTAGAAACGATGATGGTATAAATCGTTATAGAAAATCACCTGAATTACTATCTTTGAGTTTACGTGCTAGTTCCATCGAGAACATGATGTTAGCGTATTTAGAGACATAGTATAAGTAGGCGGGCAATTGATTGATCGGATTTGGTTTGGCCAAGTTCAATTTTGCAAGCTTGTATAAGTCGGAAGCAACTATTACAATCCTGCTGGACGCAGTCTTTTTCAACAATGCTAAAACGAAAAATAGCTTAAAATTTACATAAAACATGATATTCATCTAAATCAATACATCTTGTTCAACATTTTAAACCATATAGTTAAGTTAGTTTATTTAACCGTTTACAATATGTCACACATGAATATAACATTAATGTATTTAAGTTTAAATTTAATTTTGCATTTTTATTTAAAAACTTAGCGAAATGTCGTTCAGCTATCTAATATATTATACCATTATTGTACAGTGCGTTACGTAGAATGATTATATTATTATCATGATAATTAAAAATTAATATATCGTGTGTTCTTACGTAGAAGTAAATGTGTCAGCAAAAATGGGCCGTATTGATTGGTAGCCATGGTAAGTTCTAAACCATCTTCAGTAACTTTTTTACCAAAAGTATTAGCTACACCAGCGTTGTTAACTAATACGTCCAATCGAGATTCTTGTTTGTTTACTTCAGCTGCAAATTGACGCACTGAATTCAAACTGCTCAAATCCAATTTCATGAGCACAACATCGGAGTTTCCGCTATAGTTGATGATTTCGTCTAAACAAAACCAAAAATTATAATTTCAATGTGTTTATTACATTTTAAATACATGCAATAAAAACAAGTGTACAGATATTGTTGTCCCATATCGATCAGTATTATTAACACAAACTTAAAAACTAACAATCGGATAAATTGGTGGATAAATAACAAATTAAAAATTATGTTATATATACACGAGTTTGAATTAATTTTTCGAATATTAAATATCTTAAAATTATGTGCAGTAAGATTGTATGTTAATTATGTTACCTAATAACCTCGCTACGTGTATCTACGTAAAAATTAAATTAATAATTTAAAATTAGACATTTATGGAAATATCATATAATAGTTTTTTAACCTGCACATACGTAGTATATATTGTTTACCTAATATTATAATTATAATAATTATATATCGAATATAAAATTTATTATTAGGTGTATGTAAACCAATAACTCATTTTTTCTTTTCCTCTTTTTAAATTTCCCAAGTTAATTTGTATGTACCTTAATTGGCTTAATTGAGATATTAATTTCTATAGTAAATTATTTTTATAAAAAATATGATTTTTTTTATACACGATTTGCATAAAAAATGACTCTCCAACACTGTCTTGTCATAATAAAGAACCACTGCTTTATATATTCCACTTATGGTTCTGAATCGTAAACATGTCTCAACGTGTTTGTTCTATTGGAACTAAGCTGCCTAGTACCAACCTCTTATCCATTTCTGTCAAAAGTTTAAAACCTATAAAACTATTTGAATAATATGTGATAATTATAAAGTGTCAAATCCATACAAACGTAATTTGTTAATTATTAGTTAAATTTAAATTGAATAAGCTTGCAGTATTTCAACAGAATATGAAAAATATAATAATGTTTATTTTGTTTTTAGCGATATAAAAAGCAAAAGTTTTCAAAATTCTCAAGGCAAATCGTTCAAATTAATATAATTTCAAAGTGGTATATACATCATAATAAGCGTGGTTAAACAAAATATGATAATTGATAAATATACTGGTAGGAATTATTTAGCTGTCGGTTATCCGAAATAATAGTACAAGGCTTCAATTAATTAAATGTAAAAAAATAAGTACATTGCACTATAGAAACAACGGAATGTGCATTAAAAAAAAGAGTGTAGAAAACAAAAATATCATTAAATAATTGTACACACAATCATCTAAGAGGGTAACTAACATACCAAAATCGCCACAGATAATGCGGACACAATATTAGAAAATATTATGTGTTATAATATAGGTTAATAACATACAAAATATAGAAACTTAAAATGGAATTTATACGCGATACTACGTATACTACTAAGTATTATTAAATACTAATTAAATTAACAGAATTAAATTACCGTAAAAAAGTAAATATGGTATAATATTTTATGTTAACTATTTATTTTTATTTCAATTGTTATCGTGCAAAAAAAAAAAAAAAAAAAATGAGTCAGTGAAAAGTAACTTTAATGTCACTATAGGAACTAATAGAATTTCCTCTAAAGCAAACCGTATAGCGAGCTCTAAAACAGTTTATTTGTACCTATGCATTATGGACCCCGTAAAAAAAAATGAAATCAAATTATTTCTAGCAAATAATTTTTATTTATTAAATGATCGTATAAACTATAAATACATAAACAAGTAACGCACAGTCGCACTGCATCAACGAACGTCCGAAACGTCAGTTGTTTGTGCAATACCGTACTGTCACCCACAAAAAATATATAACGTTCCTGCCCAGTTGCGCTTATACGCATTTGGCAAAATATAAAATCCTGTTAGATAACATAAAAAATAAAATAGAAATTTAATCGATAGCCGAACAATCACGTGCAACTATTGAATTATTATTGTAAGTAATCGATTTTTACCTCTAGCTTTCGATCCGGTCTCCATATTCCTGCAAGCCATGATTACTCTGGCGCCACGCTTAGCCAGATCTTTGGCCGTTTCCTTGCCAATGCCTGAGAAGAACATGAAAAAGAAATACGAACACAGTTAATAGTTATATACTCTGCGTCTAACCATATTGTGGGTGCGAATGTGTGTGTATAATATAATGTACGAATATATTTAATAATAATATGCTCCTTAAACATTACCCGAATTGCATCCGGTGACGATTACGACTTTGCCTTTCATGTTCGTGGTGCCGTGATATACACCTGTAGTCATCCAAGTGTATAGTTTAACAATGACCAAGAATATAAACGCGATTAGAGCGGCATAGGCGGCGATTACCACCAGGTTAGTCGTGTGAAGGTAAGAGAGAGTCTCTGCCGAATACCACATCGTAACTATTGAAATATAAACAAAACATAATGGTTAAGGCTCACATCAGTCCTCTGTAAGGTTTTATACGACGAATATTCGAAATTTGTACAGAAATTAAAAATAATATGTTTAATGAATAAGTGGCCTTGGGCTCAACGTGATGATTATCAAAATCCTTGAAAATATTATTTGGTAATCTCAAATGATAAATGTATTTATTTTGGTGGTTAAAAATATGAAAGTACCTAAAATATAGTTAATCGATGACTTATATAACGACATATTTAGAAAAAAAATTACTTATTTAATTTAGAAAATGGATGTATAATAATAATGAATTTAAAACCAATAAGATCTGATCTGGATGAGAAAAGAGTTCAAAACATTAATTTGAAATACATTTAAATTCTTCGATAAATACATTAAAAAAATGTTTTGCATATAGTTGTTCAAATTGTATTAAATAAATAACATGTTTAAAGTTATGGATGTTCAACGATTGACCAGAGATTATAACTAAAAACGTTTCAAGTCTTAATAAAACTAAATCTTTCGCAAAACTAAGAATATAATTATTAATTACTTAAATTATGGTCAAAGTAGTAGGTACCTACCTATAAATACCTACCTAAATATATAAGTTGAAAAATTTATTTAAAAATCAATATAAAAACTACATAAGTACTAAATACTTTTATAAATTTAAATTAAAATAATAAATAATACACATTTTACACAAAAAGAATAACTACCTTCCTATACGTTACAAATTTCAAAATAATATCTAATTACACTATATGATCTATGTTAAACGCATACTATCCCTGATTTGTGCTGTAATATTATATTATTTAATACAAGTTATTTACATGAGTACAATCATAAAATACAGACAACAATAATGTGCGGGAGTTATTTTTAACCTTTGAATATAACTTATTGTAATATGAATAAATGAATCTATTAAATATAATAACATTTCCTTGAGAAAAAAATATTATGTCATAGGTACATGGTAAAAATTATAATTAGAACACTAGATTATAAATAATGTGAACCGTGTACATACTAAATATACAGGACATATGTAATACTACATGAAATGTATAAGTGTACAATACCTAATGTGTATTGTATTGAATTATAATAGCTTATTGTGTTTATATTTTCTTAAGATTTATTAATAATACTTGTTTAACTCTTAATACGTGTGAGTTCTTACTTAAAATATTTTATAATGTTCAATTTAAATAAACAATTAATTTTAAATTTAAGATTATAAAATTCGTATAATCTTTATAGACTTTGTATAGTCTTTATAGACATTTATCTATTATATAAGTTCATCAACGGCGTATTCGTAAAAACCTATACAATTTTGTGGTAACCTAATCTCAGTTCTTGATAATGATCAACTAAGATAAGAAAATAATTTTGAAAAAGTAATTATACAAATTACCTACATAATATAATATAATGACGTCAATAATGCAGAGAACATTACATTGTTATTTTTTTTAAACAAAACCATTATAGTTATACTACTCAAAAAATATAATTTGCTACTTATTATAATGAACCATTTAAAAATGCAGTTGAAATAATATTATAATAATGAAATATATTCCATAGAATTTGTGCGGGAAAATAGGTATTAATTTTTAGCAATAAATTTATGAACATGAAAATATTTTAAACAAATTATTTATAAAGGTATACTTTTTTATATCAATTAAATAGTACATTTATTTTAAAACTAATTCATATTTATTACTAAATATAAACGTCACCAGTCATTAACACTGTTAAAATTATATGTATTAATGTATTTATCTTGGTGATTTCATCTTTTATACATCATTATATTACGTTAATAAAACGATAATTACTTAGATAAGCATTTTTTTGTATTAAACTGAAGAATTATACTATTATATATTATTTTGAAAATGTATTCATTAAAAAATAAAACACCTCTGCACACCAATCTCGATGAAAATGTAACTAAACTAATGAAATAGTCAATAGGTAGTTAACTAATGCTTTTTCAAGGATCTATAAAAATTAATGAAAGTAAATAGGTACTAGGTAATAGTTATTAAACTACAGTAAACTATTGACCAATAGAAGTTGGTAATTTTCTATAAAATATTAATATCATTATGGCATTATCTTTAATAATAACTACAGCTGTTATAATTAAGCTGAAAACGTTTAATATTATTATCAGCGTTAAGATTAAGTAAACACATATCTGTGAAAATTCTGTTGGCTTTAACAAACACTACTTTACGTTTCACAGCTATAACGAATATATATTTTAAAAACGATTTAATTTGTAAATTTGTAATATAGGTACTAACTAACTAGAAACATGATATACGTCAATGCCATAATGATTTATCAGATTCGTAACTTGAATAATTCATGAAACCTTATCAGAAAAGTGTTTTTATTAAATATTTTATGATTATAAACCAATGTAAAAACGATGTGTATTTTTATATTAAATGAGAAAATATTTTTACTTACATTAGACGTTGACTCCTATCTTAACGTATTGAACACGTATTGTACGAGTGTGCGGTTAAGAGTTCACAGCTGTTGCGTGGCCAAGTGAAAGTAGTATAGCTGTGGAGGAAGTATGAACAACGCGAAGATGAAAACGACATAATATGCCGGGCGGAAGGGATAGCGGTTTGTGAGTACGTGACGTAATAATATAGACGATGGCTATAGCTTTTCAATAGTTTGGATCACATAACTGACAATGTGTATGATTAAGATAGAATTTATTCCTAATTTCACGATAGTTTAAGATAAATATGTGTTAACTGCAACTACTATATCATAATATAATATTATTAGGTATACGTAATACAGTAAACCTTATATACCAGCTTTATTGAGACACATGTTACATATAAACATTTACTGCCGAGATAATTTTAATGATATGTCGGAAAGTGGTACGAAATTCCATCAGAATGTCAAAAACAAACACGTATCGCGGTATGACCTGCACATATTTGTACAGCGTAACTACTTGGTTCCAAAAAAAAGTTCTTTTGGTCATCATATAAAGAAAAAACGACGATTTCTATTGATTTCGAACAAGTATACTTAATCCATTGTGTTTAAAAATTTTAGATATTTACCCGAAAATAAACGCTATATGTAATAATATAATATATTTACTGTTCTAATCATCTTTTTTTTGTTTTAATTCTTGCAAATTATACTTTTTCAGATATTTAACGTCTTACCACAGTCGCGGTAGGGTGAATAGTTATCACAGAATTTACACATCGTGAACTTTTCTTTTTTTTTTTTGTTTTGAGATTATAAATTGAATTTTTTTGTAAGAGAATATGAATAAATACAATATGCGTAGTTCTAAATTCTAATACTATTAAATATTATTAAATAATTTAAAAAAATAAATTGCTTATCTTTAAAAAATATTGAATTACCAAGTTTCCTTACTTTATACTTTTTACAGTTTACAATGATAAACAAATAACAATACAACAATAAATATGTATATTATATTCAATTATCGCGTTAGTCATTTAAGAAACTGTACGAATAACACTAATAGTATTTAGGTGTTAACTAGCGTAGGTACTAACCATATACAAAGCGATTTAAAAAATTATTTTTTACAGTTTTAGATTCTGATCAAAACGATAAACATATATTGGTTTTATAAATATGTATGTTATTTTTATTTTTTTTTTTTGTGTCAGCCATCATTTTTTAAAACAGTAAAAATATTTAATTTTGATGGTAGATTCAGATAGAAAAATGGACTCTAGTTATTAAAATTAAAATTTTCTTTCTTAAATAATTGGGTAAAACTAAAAAAAAAAAAAAGAAAAAATAGTCAAAAATATTTAAGACTTATTCTAAGCTACATATTCAACTCACAAAAGTATACTATTATACTATAGGTATGTTGGTATTCACTTAAACATAAGTTAGGTATTAACAATAAAATAATATATTTCAAATTATAATAATTATTATACTAATACAATTAATGAAATGTTTTAGGTAAAAATAAATTCATTCCACAGTTTTTACTATTTCTAATAATATGAAATGAAAATACTAAATCAATATAAATACATTTTTAAATATCGCTTCATTCGTTTTACATAGTAAGCACAATGTAAATTTTACATGAAATACAAAAATTACAAAAATATTTTTGAAATCATGATTCGATTAGGTACATATTAGTTTTCACTGTTATAATTAGATAGACTGTTTTTTTTTTTTTTTTTTAAGAACTGATGGTCCCTCTTTAAATAAAAATGAAATTATCTTATCTTTAATACTATTTTTTTTTTTGTTCATAAAATAAAGTATTATATAAAATAATATATTATCTTAATTTAATATATTGTACAAACATTTATAAAAAAAAAAAAAAATTAAAATAAAATGTAAATATATCTATATTAGTGAAATATTTAAGCATAGGTAAATAAAGTGTAATTTATAAGTTTTGTATTAAAATAAATATGAATGCACCTTTTTTTATAATTATAACCTCATGTTCAAAAATTGTATATTAATTAAACTGCTTAAAAGTTAAGATATTAGATATTAGCAATGTAAAAAATAGCTTAAAAATATTTTTATCTCGTACACCGACATAACTGAAGTTATGTCGATCGACGCAAAGTCGAATGTAAGTATTTGGTGATTGAGTGGCAATGTTAAAAATGTTATCGTCTATGGATTAAATATTGCACTAACAAAAAATTGCACTAATGTACATATTATAGTATGCTATGTATTTTATATAATATACAATAGGTATATATACTACTTATGTGCTTACACACGTATATTTTTATTTATTTCAAGAAATCTTCTGCACGTATAATTCTAAACATGTATGCTAATAAACATTATCTACCTTTATTCTGAACTGGAGCAATATTACTAAGTACGTAATACAGACGCCCACCGCCTGAAACAAAACGAAACACATAATTTATAAATACTTTGTAACTTATTGTTGCAGGTATGTATTTATAGCACTGATGATGTATTATCAGTCGACATCCAATTACGATTGTATTTTATAGGTAATAACGATGAAATGAAATTATAATATTATTATATAAATAAAAGTGTAAATATTTGTTTTTACAGTCAAATATGATTGAGATGTAGAGAAAATAATTTTTATTTTTATTTTTGGTCAGTTATATTAATATGTACCTGTAGTTTATCAACACATAAGAGCATACAGTGTCATTATTTTCCACCTATTATAAAATCTAAATATGCCTTGCAATAGTTTCATAATGAAAACTAATAGTTTCAAAGTGGCTAAATCCCGACTCAAAAAAATATATTATTTATACATTAATCTAATATTGCTGTGTAATTAAAAAAAGGTGATTTCATAGCAATTAAAATTCATCCAACCAATCACCTATCATTATTCAAACTCTACGAAACAAGCTAAAATATTATTCATATAATAACACTAAAATATTAAATACCATTGGGGTTCATAAACAAAAATTCGATAGATATTCAAAAACACGGACTACTTACAATACCTCGTATGACATTAAATATAACTTATATTCATTAAGCGATTTTCGTTCAGTGACCTAAAAAAATTACCGATGCCTATTGGATAAGTACAATTATAAAACGCTTATCACTGAATTACAAAAGTAATTAATTTTACTTTTATAAAGGATTAATAAAATTAATTTATTTTATAATCAGTAAAATAATATTTGAACGTTAAATTTTATAAAACATATTAATTATTCTATATTATAAGTACTTATAATATAATTATAATAATTTATGATTGAATAATGGTAGTGGCTACTATCTCATTGGTATACATTTCATAACTAATATCACGGACTTAACATAGTAAAATTTGAAATAACATTGAATAAAATTTAAAAAAAATTGAATTTTTTTGAATGTGGGACAAATAACGCACCATTCTAAAAGGGGACGTATATTTCAAAAATGAGATAATTCTCTCTAGTGCGGGTTGTCTAATCACACTAAATTACGTATTCGATATCACAGAATCTAATAATATCAGCTATCAATACATATTTTGTACTCTAAGCCAAATTCAAAACCACATCAATTCCTAGATATTTAATATATTTATAGTTTACATCTACCGTGTTAATAAATTGTCTTGTTAATAAATAAATAACAACTTATAACCCTCGTCTGGGCTTATAATAGTGTGTATGTTATATTATTTTGCTTTCGACTTACAGAAGTGAAGAGGCGAGCGTTTACAGTGAAAAGATCACACATCGAAAATTCTATTACAGCACTAGATAATTGATTTGAAAATATTTGTAACTGCGAAAATAAAATCGAAATTAGACAATTTGTATAGTTTGTGCGCAACATTATAGTACAGCAAATAGTGTATAATAACCTCTTCATTCGTACAAATATCTAAATAATATCTGCTTACGTCCGTTATTATTTCTCTCGTCATTAGTGCCTGTGTACAGAGTAAACACACAAATTATTTTAAACGACTATAATAAACTACCTCACATGCAGTAAAATAAATCCTCCGAAGCTCCAATCCCAGTGAACGATATCGTACGTCAATACCGTTTAAAAATTACAAAACGTCAGTGCTGAAATGTGGTGCACGTTTTGCATT